TTTATTTCTAATATATGCAGATAGCTTGCTATGATCAAAACTTAATGATAAATGACACAGATTGAAACTTTATCTTGAAAAAAAAAAACATTTTCATCAACACAAAGCACCAAACAAAAAATCCCAAACATTTTCGTAGGAGAACACCAATAAGTTGAGTTGAAAAGTAAAAAAAACAAAAGAAAGGCTAGTTTGTAACATGTTGTTTCTGTTTATACTCATAAACATTATTTACTTTATAACTTTATAAAAGAAAGGGATACTACTAGGATTATTATATATGTATATTTCCTGGCTGATGAAATTAAAATGTAAAAATACAGAAATAAAAAAACAGAAACTAAAACTATAAAACAGTCACTCATTTACCACACATCCATCTCAACTTATAAACCTGGATACCGTTGAAACTATGACTATTTATCATACTTATAAACTTGGATACCGTTGAAACCAAAACAGTCACTCATTTACCACACATCCATCTCTACTTATAAACCTGGATACCGTTGAAACTATGACTATTTATTAACATTACCTGTATACGTAAGTTAAGTGTCTTTGGTTGTTGTTAAGCGCAACGCTACACAATGGGCTCTATCTGTTCTCTGCCCACCGCGGATATCGAAACCCTTCACCGGGAGGGGGGTTATAATGTGAACGTACATCAAACAATTCGTTGGGGACGAGTAGCCCAAAGTTTGGCGGTGGATAGCGTTCAATGGCTGCCTTCCCTCTAGTTTATTACTTCTAAATTAGGGACGACTAGCCCAGATAACCCTGGAGTACCTTTGAAGTAACAAGTAGTAACACTCGCGGGAACTAATATTCAAAATATAGGTTAATAGATTCTAATAATGTTGTAATTGAAAATACAACATTAGTTCTGTTATAAGCTTATTATAAGTTTATTATTATATTAGTTCTGTTATAAGTGAAAGGTAAAGTTTTACTTCCTTTCGTTGTTTAGTTTAAACACACGTTTACTTGCTTAATCAATTGCGTCTATGTAAACAAACAAATACATCAAAGAAAGTTGTTCATAAGTCAATAAAGTATGTAAAAAATAAAGAAAAAGTTTAATATTAATTAACATTCAAATGAAAAATTAGTAACAATGAGATTTAATATTTGTGTAAAGAAAATTATTTATTAACACAATGCAAGTCGTGAAATACTAAATCAGATATAAAACCTGTCATTCGTTCTAAAACTATGCTTTTATATAATCTATGGCCTTAAAGCAGTTATGTTCCAATTTATATGAAATTCACATTCCAGAAAGACAAGAGAGAGAGAGAGGGCTCAGCGGTAAATTCCTATACTTACGACGCTAAATTCAGGGGGTTTCCAATTCCCCGCAGTGGACAAATTGAAGAAAGTCCATTATTTATCTTTGCGATAAAATTCTGTCATTACACTCTGGGTCTGTGTAGCCTGATATTTTCAAGTTCTTTTTCTAAACATTGAATGTCATTACAAATGTTAATGGTAGATTTAATTGTAAATGTTTTTTTTTTAAAAAGTAGTGATAATTGGAGAATATATAGAATTGCTTCTTCCAATCTAAATAAATGCCTTTAAACTACACCATCCACGTAAAGAATCTTAGTCCTGTTATAAGAAGTCTGCCAATAAACATTGCATTCTAGGTATATGTAGTCCCTTACGGATTTTCAAGAATTAGAAGTTTGTTTGTTTTGTTTTTGAATTTCGCGCAAAACTACACGAGAGCTATCTGCGCTAGCCGTCCCTAATTTAGCAGTGTAAGACTAGAGGGAAGGCAGCTAGTCATTACCACCCACCGCCAACTCTTGGGCTACTTTTTTTACCAACGAATAGTGGGATTGAGCGTCACATTATAACGCTTCCACGGGTGAAAGGGCGAGCATGTTTGGTGTGACGGGGATTCGAACCCGCGACCCTCAGATTGCGAGTAGAGCGCCCTAACCACCTGGCCACCTGCCGGGTCTACTAAAAATTGAGTTTCACTCACAGATTCAATAGAAATGAGACGATTCTGTGTAAACCATTGATATTCAGAATACTACGAAAATATAATAGGTATAAAACTAATATCTTATGACAAGTGTAAGTAATTATGATAATGCTTCGCCAGCTTGTAAAAAGCGTTCACACCTTTACAGTAAAGATGTTCACACCATTACAGTAACGACGTTCACACCATAACAGTAAAGATATTCACACCATAACAGTAAAGACGTTCACACCATTACAGTAAAGATATTCACACCATAACAGTAAAGACGTTCACACCATTACAGTAAAGTACGTTCACATCATTACATTAAAGACGTTCACACCATTAGAGTAACGACGTTCACACCATTACAGTAAAGACGTTCACACCATAACAGTAAAGACGTTCACACCATTACAGTAAAGACGTTCACACCATTACAGTAAAGACGTTCACACCATTTTAGTAGCGACGTTCACACCGTATGTTATTCATTACACTAACTTAAAAGAACTAACAATATTCAAGAACAGCCTTTAGAACTGACAATTCGTTTGTTTGTCATCTGTTGTGATGGAAATTTGTTGTTGTTTTTTGGAAGGGACATTGTTCTTTCTTAAGTATTTCCACATTGGTGGTTGATTTACTTACAAATTTAACGATGATAATAGTAATAGTTACTTTCCGCCTCGGTGGCTGAGCGGTAAGCTTGTGGACTCATAACGCTAAAATTCTGGATTCAAAGCGTGTGGTAACCATAGCTCATGGTGTGGCTTTGTTTTTGATACTAAACAAATTGAGATTCACAGTGCATTTCTATTCTAAGTTAAGCCTATGGTAAATGTGAATGTCAAGTGGTTCCAATTAACATTTCCACACAGAGTTTATCTAAGTTTTAAATATTCAGAAATTAAATTATTTTATTATCCGTTGTATTCGAGGTGTCAATTACAAAACATTCGGTCCACTGGTGGATAAGGAGTAAATTTACGGACTTACACAGCTAAAATCAGGGGTTCGATCCCCCTCAGTGGATACAGTAGATAATTCAATGTGGCTTTGTGGTAAAACAAACAAACAAATACAAGCTGAAAAAAAAATGCAAAATATCAGAGAGCTATTTCTTTGAAAAAAAACTATGATTGAGAAAATGTTTCTTGACTAATGTTACTGCGAATTGATTGAACGAAATGGCTAAAGACCTAAGGGTATTTTCGTTTTTATAAAACAAGTTAATGGGTAAGATTTTTCATACAAAAGACATAACTACTGATAACATTTGTTGATAACATTTAGAGAAGACGTAAGTCAAAGGATACGAATATAAAGAAGCATGATAAACAAATATAAACGTCTAATAAAATAAAAGTATGAAGCTATATCACTATATAAGCACACGAAACGAATTCAAGGCAATTGAGTTAACAATGCTTGACAATTTATGGTTGTACTCGTAACTAGAAACACGTACCGAAAACAAATAAACAACAGCTCAAATTTGCAATGATAACGTCACTTTGATTTACTTCTTAAAGAAAGTCCTTCTTCTATACATAAATCTCTACAAAAACACTAAAGTTGGTTTATTAATTATAATAGAAAACAAAATCTCCATTTAACCGCATTCAAATAGTTCAACCCGAACTTTTACTTTTTTTGTTGTTGTTAAGCACAAATACTGAAGGTTGTCAGTGAAAAGGTTATTTGTAAAAACTTCGCAGAAGAATACTAGATTTCAGTTCCATTTGTTTCAGTTTGGATGTTTAATTAAAATATCTTTTTCTGAAAAAAAAAGAATTACTAATGAAAATATGTACACGATTAAAATTATCAAGTACACGTTGTGTTCTTCCGACGGTTTTACTTTGAGAATATCAATAACGCCGCTGCAGTAAGTAAAGACCATCCACAAACTTTAATGTGAAAATCTGTCATCATCCCAACATAGCAAACAGTTGCTTAATTAACTGGCAAAAGATTTGTTTTAATTACATGATTTATATTTATGACAGTTTTTATCGGTTTTACATTCATTATTATTTATTTATGTGACTATACAACACCACTTATGTAATTTTCTTTCTTAATTTGAGGCATATTTGTGAAGGTTATTTACTATAATATTAAATTATTTCAAGGTCTTTCGTATCTTATATAAATTGAATAACAAATACGTGCATCTGAGGCCATCAAGTGATCAGAGAAGGGACGAACGCTCATTTTTGTTAATATGAAAATACGCAGATAAAAAAAAAGTAAAAATGGGTCGGGGATTACCTAATGATTAGTGTGCTTGCTCAGACTGTGAATCCGAAGATTCATGGTTCGCAGTTCCACACTTTGGGACCGTGGGTAAACTATATGAATTTCAGTCAAATCTCACTACTTGGTCAGACAAGAGCAGGAGAAAAGTTGGCAGTGGGTGGTGTTGACTAACTACCTTTCCTCTAGTCTGTCAGTTCACAGATAGGGATGGCTAAGCACAGACAGCGACAAAATCAGATACGTTGATCTGACTCATTTTGTAAGCTGTACTATTTCCTATAGATCATTTTCCAGACGGTTCTGCTATGATTAGTGTCTGGCGAAAAGCTTCAGCAGATATTTCCTTTGCAACATGTCAACCAACAATTGGTCCAGTTATCAACGCTATTTTCAAGTTTTGAACAACTCGACTTTCAAGATCTACATATCTACACGTGTCGGTGTTTCCGTTTATCAACGTTTTATTTAAAGATCTGTGCAAGAACTCAGCTAACAGATGTTTCCGCATATAAAAGCCATCTTGCAAGTTTTGTACACCCAAAAAAACTTTTCAAATGTCAAACTTTGTTATGTTAGAAGAAGGAGTGTTCAAAAATTATTACGCTTCGCCAAACTGCAAAGAAAAAAAAACCTGGCGGACTCTGAGGTAAAATTAAAACAAGAAGTCGTGATTATAAAATTAAAATTTACAGCTTTAAAAGTGCAAAAGTTTTGATTCGGTGTTCAGGGATTCATCAGAAGCAAACCAGATCGTTCGACGAAACTATAATACCTTAACTATAATAACTGTTAATATCTTCAGTACCGCGTTTATAAATAACTCTTTATATGCCTGCTTGATTTTTAGATACATTATTAAAAATATATGACAGATGTTTTAATGCTCCATTACTTAACTGAAATATGAAACTGATAAACTTTGGGATGTTCGTAGGGCGGAGTACCCCTTTTTTCTATCGTGTTGATACAAACATCCAAACTACCTTTTGTTTAATATACTTTTCAAGGACCTAAAAATATTTTTTGTTTGTTTTGCAACAACTGGTCCCTCGAACTTACATTACTATACAATAACCACTTGGTGACGTAAAAAAATGGAAATAGGCGTATTTGAACGCCCATATTTTCTAGGCCTTTTATTTAAATTGTATCACGTGTAATGTCAAAACACGTGTTCTTATCAGAACAAAAGATTTAAGAAAAGGAACTCAAACATAGAATGATAATCTTACCGATTGCAAGTATTGTAAAGGTGTTTTTACTGTATTATCAATCGATGGTGTGAAATATTTATTAAGTCTTTGAAACAAAGACTTCAGGGATAAAAACTAACTATCTGGGAAGCTTGTTAACTAAAAGCAAAGTAGTTATCCTGATGAAAATTATAATTGATATGAACGTAAGTTGGCGAAATTACAATGCTAAAATCCAGGGTACGATTCTCCGCTGTGGAAAGAGCAGCACAGCTAGCCTGCCCACTTTGTTCTAAAATCACCGATACAAAGTTTCACGACGGGCTATTTGAATACGATTTTTAGCGTAATAAGCCTCCAAACGTACCGCTGAACCACTGGGGGTAGTCTTGAATTTTGGTATACACGAAGTAATTTATAAAAATAGAGTAAGCAATGTGTTGACTACTTATAAATTTATTTATTTCTGAACAGCTAGACTAAGTGAAATTTTGTAGCAAATAGGGTGTGAACTTTTTAACTTAATCGTTTATCAGATATCAGAAGATTAAGCATGCAAAGTCATTTGAGCAAAATACATTAAAAAGGAATTTTCTACATATAGTATCAACATATGATTCTCATAGATGAATCTATAAAGTTATTAGAAACGTATTAATAATTCTTTAGGTGTTTGGAGGGTAGCAGTGTTAATCAGGTTATGGAAATAATTAAATGACCTGGCAACTACATACTAGTAAATGTTTTTCTTATTATAGTTAATATGTGTTACCTGTCACCTGGCAACTACATACTAGTAAATGTTTTTCTTATTATGTGTTAATTATGTGTTACCTGTCACCTGGCAACTACATACTCTCCTAGTAAATGTTTTTTATATTATTATTATTATAGCTAATACGTGTTACCTGTCACCTGGCAACTACATATTCTCCTAGTAAATGTTTTTCTTATTATAGTTAATATGTGTTACCTGTCACCTGGCAACTACATACTCTCCTAGTAAATGTTTTTTTATTATTATTATTATAGTTAACATGTGTTACCTGTCACCTGGCAACTACATACTCTACTAGTAAATATATTTTTTTATTATAGTTAATACGTGTCACCTGGCAACTACATACTCTCCTAGTAAATGTTTTTTTTATATTATTATTATAGTTAACATGTGTTACCTGTCACCTGGCAACTATATACTTTCCTAGTAAATGTTTTTTTATTATAGTTAATATGTGTTACCTGTCACCTGGCAACTACATACTCTCCTAGTAAATGTTTTTTTATTATAGTTAATATGTGTTACCTGTCATCTAACAACTACATACTCTCCTAGTAAATGTTTTTTTATTATAGTTAACATGTGTTACCTGTCACCTGGCAACTATATACTCTCGTAATAAATGTTTTTATTTTTATTATGGTTTTACATTAGGTCTGCTAAGTTCGTAATTAAGGCGGTATGAGAGAACAGCTGATGGATTTGCTTGAGTTTCTTAACAATCAATCCAAGCTCTTGTGTAAACTATCAACGATAAATGTTATTGGATTCCTATGAGTGACAAAGACTGAAATATGTATTTGTAAATAATAAGTTTAGTTACAGCAGGAAAAAAAAATATAGATGTCAGAAAAATAGAAATATTTCCGAAACCGTAAAGGAAGCCGAAGAGCGTTTTAAACGTGAAAGGTAAAGAATAGAGATCGCTGAGATTTGAACCAGTAATGGGAGAGCTAAGAAAAACCACCCATGTATTACAAAATATTAGAAATAGAGCAACATAATGAATGGACAGTAATGTCAGCACATAAACACAACAGTAGCACGACTTAAATAATGTCAACACATAAACACAACAGTAGCACGACTTAAATAATATCAACACATAAACACAACAGTAGCACGACTTAAATAATGTCACACATAAACACAACAGTAGCACGACTTAAATTATATCAACACATAAACACAACAGTAGCACGACTTAAATAATATCAACACATAAACACAACAGTAGCACGACTTAAATAATGTCAGCACATAAACAAAACAATAGCACGACTTAAATAATATCAACACATAAATACAACAGTAGCACGACTTAAATAATGTCAACACATAAACACAACAGTAGCACGACTTAAATAATGTCAACACATAAACACAACAGTAGCACGACTTAAATAATGTCAGCACATAAACAGAACAGTAGCACGACTTAAATAATGAAAGTAAACTTGTTTGAGGATCTCTAACAGACTATGAATACACATGGTCTGAATCTCAAGTCTGAGATAGTACAGTTAACAAACGTTTATTATTTATATATGATAACGAGGCTACATAATGCTCTGATAAGAGGAAACAAAACAATACTATCATTATGTTTGTATCCAGTAGAATTTCAATAATAACGTTTCATAAATATCCATATAATTTTCCTTGACATTGTAATTTCATTTTATATTTCGCCCAATCAAACCTCACGATTGATTAAAATTTAAAAACAGCTTTAAAGAAACGAGGTGATGACGTTTCGATCACTCTGAGATAAAAAAGTATTATTCAAGTATTAAGCTTCAATATCCAGCTTAACATCCTATTTTTAACATTTCGATTAAAGAGGCATGAAATGAGATCCTTTGCCTTTTCGACCTTCTTTAAATCATCGTTTCTTGTCCTAGTGATAATCTTCAGGTAATTAGTCTTACAGCCATAAAATAGGTTACAACATTTGATATAAGAACGAACTTCGACTCATAGCGTTGACTATTTTCTTGTGATAAAAACAAGTTTTAAGTTAACCTTAGAGTAGCTATTTCGACTCGTAGCTTTGACTATTTTCTTGTAATAAAAACAAATTTTGAATCAACCTTAGATTAGGTATTTCAGGCGGGAAGAAGTAAGAAGTTTTAAATAATTAATCATGTTTTCTGAACTTGTTATGAACACCTTTTTCAACCTAAAGAAATTGATTGGATGACTTTAACTATTTCTGGTAAAAACACAGGGTAATACACGGGAATAAATCTATTTAACATTGAAGAAATTTTACCATCAAACATCCCTCTGAAAGCCCCCCACTCACCCACCCAATAGTACAGCGGTATGTCTGCAGACTTATACCGCTAGAAACTGGGTTTCGATACACGTGGTGGGCAGAGCACAGTTGGCCCTTTGTGTAGCTTTATGCTTAATAACAAACAACAACAACAACCCTCTGAAAGCCAAGAAGGAAAACTTGCTGATTATTGTTTAGATTTAATTGGTTTTGACCTAACAAATCAAGGTCTTCTGGAGGATTTTAACTCCCTTGTAGTTTTATATTAACGTTATTTTAATCTGAAAGTTAAATAACATCATTTTTATCATATATCTTCGTATAGATCAATGTGAAGTCTACACAGATTAAAAAATCAAAGTACCATCCTCTCCTTTTTCATCAATGTTTCTTTGATGGCCATGTAGAGATGGTAAAAAAAGAATTGTAAGACAAAGTAGGTGTTGTAACTTTGTTGTTATGAAGTGTTCTGAAAGAGACTTGATACAAACAAAACACGTTTACACAATAATTACACATTAATCCTCATTCTCTTATTACACACTGACGTTGAATTACGGCTATGATGTCACTTAAAACGTAGCAGGAAGGCTGTTAGAAAGGGCAACTTCCTGCCTCGAGCAAGAACAGAGTTTATTATTACGATATCACGTGAGCTACTCTCCTGCCAATAAAATTCCCAGAATTATGTAAACAATTCAGCATACAGTGTGACATGAACGCATAATTAATCGTATAAGAAAACCGGATATTACGAGCTTATAGTTATAGTCACAAATATCTGACTTCAGTTAAATAAAGATGTTTTAAATATTAATTTTAAACATTTGTTTATAGAGAACACATATTCCGACATATTCCACGTGTACTAATACGTCACCACTTTAAGTATCCATTCGTCAGCCACGTCAAACAGAATGCAAAATAAAGGTCGAGAGACCTTACAATTTTATACTTTCATAAATCTGGAATTGTATGCGAGTTTTTTGTTTTTTTTATCATATATTACATATATAGAAATGTTTGTTTTATGTTACTGCGAGCACACTGTAGAGGGTTTATTGTTAGCCTACGGTGCGATAAAAACCGAATTACTTACACGTGCATGACACAAGATAAATAAAGCTCGTCACGCGTACGTTGCAAGAAATAATGAAAACCCAATCAATTAGAAAACAAGGTACCATCTTTTTTTTTACAAACAATAACAATAGAATTTCATCTGATGAAGACTACTGACGCTAATCACATATCGGTCTTACATTTTTTTTTTAAGCTTCGTGTCAGCACGAACAATAAAATATTTGAGTTGATTAAAATAATCAATAAATGTGTTTAAAAGTCAGTACGAATATCGTACGCGTGTATGATTTTCTTTCAAATGTGCCGTATGTGCAGTTTTACCAGTTTCCTGTTTCTACGCGAATAATAATCAGATTAACTAAGAAATGATAAGGTTCATATTATATTTCTTCTCGAAATACTGGTTTCACTGCGAAAAGAAAATGCT